GACCGCATATTGAGGGGAGAAGTTCATGAAAACAAAGCAAAAATACACGTAGACTTGCATGCACACACCATACCACATCACACCACACTACACCAAACCACACTCAACACACGCCACACCATACCATACCATGCCATACCACACCATACCATAGCATACCATGCCATAGCATACCGCACCACACCATACCATAGCATACCACACCACACCACACCATACCATAGCATACCACACCACACTCACCAAACCACACCACACCATACCACATCACACCATACCACACCACACCATACCACATCACATCACACCACACCACACTCACCACACCACACCACACACACAATTGCACACAAAATTACCCACCTGGATGATTCAACACTAGTCATCTGAAGGCAAAAGATTAATCATGCTTTTAGCAACTACTCAACAATATGAGCTATATAATATGTTGATCAATATGTTATGAAATTATAGATTAGATTATTAATATATAACCAAATGCTGTATTAGTATATATTCAGTGGCAATAGTTACTGCTTTGTCCAAGCATTAGACATGTTGCTAAGCTGGATGATGTCACAGAGAATAGTTGAAGTTTGGGGGAAAAAAGTTTTTCACAAGTAGGCTTTTAGATGTTGACTTAGTTTCCAGATCTTTGGTGTTTTTAAATTTTGTAGACGTTGAATTCATACTTTTTTATGCATTTCAATATGCTTAACTTTTGCCAGGAATAGTCAATGATTTGTCATTCACATGGAATATCTTTGAAAGAAGCACTAGTTAGAAATTCTATGATTTATAGGAAAGTGAAGTGCATTGTCATATATTCAATGAGATGAATATCAGTATATACTAATCCATCCATGAAGAAAGAGTGTGAATGCAGCTAGCCTGTGTGTCCCCACCAAAGGTAAGTTGCTAGCAGCAGACACACTCGGTTTCTAGCTGGCACTCTTACATCATAGATATAACAGATTTCATAATGAAAATGTGTTGTATTATTGTAAAAAAAAGTTCTCTTTTAACTTTCTTAATATTAATGTAAGATATACACTTAAAAGCTTAGAAGCTAAAAAGACATCAGTGTATATAGAGTGTAAATACCTTTTTAGTGCACTACAGGACAATGTTTTTCACTCACTTTATTTTCATTAGATTTATATTCCACCATTCAGTTTTAGGCAAAGAGAACTCCTTTACAGTAATAACACACTTTCAGGATTATTATATATGTGCTGTCTCCACTTTGGGGGAGATGGTGTCGGATCTTAGGCATTTTAGGAGTTTGTTGAAGAGCAGATTTGGCAAAAGAATTGCATCTCATGAAACAGATTCGTGTTTATTGTTTTTGAAAGGATTTGTAAAGGAAACAGTAAAATACACAAGAAAGTTTTATTTTATTTTGAATTGCTACAATAATATGAACCTAGCAGGCTTGATTTTGTCAATAAATTAAAGAAAAGATAATAGAATTAATAAATTCATTACTATATAGATATATTTATATAGATAAATCATTGGTGATAATCACAAATGTTGTAAATATAATTCCCTGCTAAGTTTGTAATTTTGGAAAAATATCTTAATATGTATGTCGAAACCCTTGGTCTCAACGGAAAGAGATGCCTGATACTTAATGAGAAGTAAGATTGTGGGTGTGAGTGTGCCTGTGTATATTGGGTATGTATTCACATAATACATGACATGTAAATGACATGGTCATATAGCTATAGAAAAATTGTGTGAACTCTTTATTCTGGAGAAGGAGCAAATAGTATGTGGAATCAGTTACCCCCCAAAAAGATTATTACAAAGTACTATATTTGCGTGGAAAATCAAAGGATTTTTTTTTTGCTCACAAGTAACTTTACAATAGGCTTTATATTGTCTGTCAGTAAAGACAGCAAGTGATGCCGTTGGTGTGGTGCATGATGCTGAGAAGCTTCTTCTCTTCTAGGGGCGTGGCAGAGACATTGAGGTGGAAGATCCAGCCACGCCCCCCTGGCCTGAGTGGCTGACCTCTGGCGTTGGTCATACCTGCCCATTTTGTGGCAAGACCTTCCTGAAGAAGTTCAATCTGGTGACTCATGTGCGCATCCACACTGGTGAAAGGCCTTTCCAGTGTCCTCACTGTCCATACCGAGCCAACCACTGCTCCCATCTGAAGTCTCATGTCAGGAAACTCCATATTGAAAAGGGGCATCCCATCTAATGCACCATCAATGGATACCACATGTCATCGTGAAAGAGGCCTCTTCTGTTTTTGTGGCATGGCGGACCTGATTAGAATACAACCTGAAAATGTTGGATGGTTCTTAGGTGGTAACGTGCCTTGTCTCATTCTAGGCTTGCCATGATGGAGGCGTTGTGAGTGCCAGTAGGATACCACCTCCGTCAGGGTTTGGGGCAGATGGGAAGCACCTCAGACTGACTTGCCCCTATTGTGGGCACACCAGTCGGGACAGCTACGACTTGAAGAAACACATAAGAACTCATACTGGAGAGAAACCATATGCTTGCCCACATTGCCAATATAGAGCAAGCACTAGTAGTAGCATCAAGTCTCACATGGACCGTCATCATTGGCATCACTGATGGGTGATCTCATTAGGAAGGGAACTGATATTTGATTTCGAATTCTGTTGGATGAGACAAAGTGCGAATGATAAATGGATAGTTGAAGGATATTTGGTTGACTTGATTATTCGTTTTATGTGAAGTTTTATTGCCAATCCTGAGGCTATACATTTGTGATATTTTTTGTTTGAAGGGAATTGGTATTTTCTTTTTGAAGTTTGCCAAACAAGTATATTTATTAGCAAAGCTCCTCCAAAATCCTTTTAGTGATCTTTTACATTGTTGAATATATTTTGAAGTATGATCTCATAATGAACCAGCACCAAAGAGAGAAACTTATGTAGCATAATAAAGTTTTTAACATATAGATTTATGTGTATTACTGATCATCAGGATCTTGTAGTTTTTCATTTGTGAATGTTTATAAAATGGGTGATAATGACAGAACTTCTGGAATTCGTGAGAGGAAAACTAATTTCAATAAAGAATTACAGGAATCTTGAAAATAGTAATGGGCTTGCATTTAGTCTCATTATTTGTAGTTCATATTTTTTGCAGTGAAAAATGTATGGACCTAAACATAAACACATTCCTTTTCTGCAAATAAAAATTCCGTATTAAACGTGTCTTTTACGTGTAAAGACAAATCTCATGAAAGTTTTCTATTCTTCTTGTTTTGTTTGTTTACTCTATTTTTATTTATACTAAACTGGAGGAATTCCATATATGGAAAGTGCTTAGTACAAAATAAAATCTCTGTATTGACAGGGGGGCGGGGTAATTCTTGAATAGAGTGGGTGGTAACGTGCCTTATCTTATTCTAGGTGTTCCCTGAGAGAGGCCGTGGGATCACCACTAATCTTCCACTTGCTGCACTCTGTAACTCTAATAGGAAGAACCAGAGGTTTGGCTGTCCCTATTGTGGCCATATGAGCCGTGACTCCTATGATCTCAAGAAACATATTCGTACACATACTGGGGAAAGACCGTATGCCTGTCCACACTGTTCCTTTCGCACAAAGGATAGTAGTACCCTCAGAGACCATTGTCGAACTCACACAAGAGAACACCGCTATAACTGTGCACACTGTTCATACCGTACCAATAAAAGTAGTGACTTTAAAGTTCATTTATTAAAGCACGATCAGACACTTATAAATGTTGAATGTTCTGAAGAGTTGCCAGAATGAATGTATATATTTATTCATCTTATTTATTTATTTATTTATTTATTTATTAAATTTCAGTGTGGCTTCAATACAGATTCTCACTGAATTTTCAGATTTCATTTACACAGAGTTGATTTTATAGATATTTTGGTTGATATGATTGTTAAGAGCTGTGTCTAATTTTCATATTTAGTAGTATTACAAGGGGAGACTGGAAAGCTGTAAGCCTTCAGTTGTTCTTTTAAGAGATTTTCAGGGCTGGTGCAAATATACATTAAATGATTTGCTTGAGGTACTGCAAATTTTGAAAGCATTAATACAAGATTTGGATAGGGAGGGTCAAAAAGAAGTAACATACCTACCTTTTTCATTATAGAAATGTGAAGATAGTCGAGTGCCAACAGTCTGTTTCTCAAGAGCTGGGCAGGGTTTGGAGGGGGGTGGAGGCAATTTGGCTAGATAGAACTAAAGCTGTGATCTCCATGAAAATTTGCTTGACTTGTGGTTATGTTTTTAAGGATATGTGTTACCTTTGAAAGCACATCAGGATCCACACAGGCAAAAAGCCATACGTGTGTTTGTATTGTCCTTATCGGTCAACTCAAAGCAGCAATCTGAAAACTCGTATGAGGAAGCATCACCAGTATAAATTTTCAAGTTCAAGAAGCAGTTATCCAATTTTATTCACACACACACACACACACACACACACACACACACACACACACACACACACACACACACACACACACACACACACACACACACACGCACACAAATACACAAATACACACACAAAAAAATGAGGTAATGTAAGTGAGACTGAATTCTATTCAGTTCATATATGTCTGTTTTTAAAGCCAACTTGTTAAGAAAGAAGAAAGAAAATGGAGCTAAGTTTTTCATTGTTGGTGTGGACCTGCTTGGGTAATATGGAAATTATCTTTACAAATTTGTGTATTTGTGCATTAACCTACACTTGTTTGAGGAACATTTCCCAAGTTGAGCTGCTTTGTAGCATAGGCTGTTGCTTGGTGTCTTTGGCTGGAATATCTAGACATGATCATCTGATGTCAGTAGCCGGGAGTTGTACCTGGCTCTTTCAGGTTAAAAGACGAGTATGCCTCATCTTTACAACACTGGCATTCACACACACAAGAAATCAGGATCTCCGGGACTGTCCACTGGCTGTACCTTTATTAAAGTTGCTTGATTTGGGCTAAGAAAGACAAGTGAATGCTTGTGGTAGTATTTAAGAGTGTACAGCTAAGTGGATTGTCTCTCTCCCTGTTAGGATACATGGCAACCTCGCTTGGATGCGAATGTGGGGAAAGGCCCAAGGCGCCAGCACGAGTGTTCCTACTGCCCCTACATTGCACGAGACAAGACTGATCTTCGTAAGCACTCGTACACCCACACCGGAGAGAAACCGTATGCCTGCCCCTATTGCCCTTATCGTGCTAGGCAAAACAGCTGTATTAGAACACACATGAGGAGGCACCATTCTTTTTCCATGATATAATGCTTTTGGAAATATATGTTGAAATAGAAGAATTTTCAGGGAAAAAATGTTATTACCTTATAAACTAAATGAATCATGTGAAATTATTCAGTATTACTATTGTATGTTACAAGAACCTGCTCAATAGTCAGTCAATAAAGCCAGTTCATCTGTGTTGTAGTGGTGGTTATCCTTTTGGAAACTGAAGAAGAGTATATGCCATAGAACATGCAATTAGAATCACTTTAGAAAAGGGGAGAATATACTTGTTTTTTCATTCAATATGTACATTTTCTTTTGTGGGGTAAGTGGTGTAAAAAAAAGAAAAGAAAAAAAAAGTAAATAAATGCTTATTGAAAACTAGATTGATTGATTTTTTTAATACAAGGAAAGATTAACTATGTTACAGCAGAGCATATAAGGCAGTTTTCTTATGGTGATTTTGCTGGTATAGGGAGCTTTTAATTGGGAAGGATAAGACTGTGCGTGTGCATGTGTGCACATGCATGCATGCACGTTCAAAGCGTAACCTGCATTTCTGTCACTTATTACAAAGTGATAGGCAGTGAGTATAACAAAACATAGGTTGCTAAGTTAAATTTTCTTGGTTATTGAATTGAAGGTGGGAGGCAAGTTGATTTTGATTGTTTAAAGGTTGAGAGCTTTAGACCATGCAGTTCTTATTTAAAAATGATTAAATAAAAATAGCTGATAAATACTTGTTAATGGTTGTTAATTTGATACCTGGGGTACCTAAACTATCCATTACAAGTCTGGAATGGTAATATTCATGCTAGTCTTTGAAAATACCTTTAATCCATTCATGCATGTCCAATTACACAATGGTAAACCAGCTCTTGCACTTGCACCAACCAACTCTAAGTTGTGCACTGGGCACACTAAAAAATCGTATGCTTGTCTGTCCCATGCTGCACTCATTGAGAAGAAATAGACCCCTAAAATATAGGCATAAAACCTCTTCTTGCACTACTCCTCATACATCCTGACATGTTTGTTCAGTGTGGTGCTAGGAACTCCTGTTGTGTTGGGTTAAGATTTGATGACTAGAGAAAATAAAAGACTAATACTGATAATGTTTATTAACCCATTGGATCTGGGTGTCTCGCTGCTGGCATGTGGCCCCCCCAAAAAATGGGCATTAGGCTTACTTCAGAGATGACTCTCCTGGGTGTGTGGCTTGTAGAGCTGGCCCACACAAGCACTTGCGTATGCTGTATTTATATATATTATATTTATATATATTGATATATATGTATAAATATGTATATATATGTATTTTATATATATAAATATTCATGTATGTTTATATGTATTTTTATATATATATTTATGTATATAATTATTTATTTATATATATATTTATGTATATAGTTATTTATTTATATATATATGTAATTATTTATTTATGTATATATATAATTATTTATGTATATATGTAATTATTTACATACGTTTATATATTTATTTATTTATTTATTTATTTATTTATTAATATTTTTTTTATATATATGTTAATTGATCTCTATATATTTTTTATATATATTTATATATTTATATTTTTATATTTATTATATATATTTTCATATATATAAATATATATATAAAAATATATATATTATTTTTATATATATATTTATATATATATAAATATATATATATTTATATGTATACATTTATTTATTTTTATGTATATTTATATTTATTTATATATTTATATATATATGATTATATTTGTATATATTTATATATATTTTATATATATTTATATATATATTTTATATACATTTATATATATATTTTATATATATTTATATATATATTTTATATATATTTATATATATTTATATATATATTTTATATATATTTATATATATTTTATATATATTTTATATATATTTATATATATATTTTATATATATTTATATATATATTTTATGTATATTTATATTATATATATATATATATATATATATATATATATATATATATATATATATATATATATATATATAGTATATACATATATATATATATATATATATAGTATATACATATATATATATATATATATATAGTATATACATATATATATATATATAGTATATATATATATATATAGTATATACATATATATATATATAGTATATATATATATATATATATAGTATATACATATATATATATATATAGTATATACATATATATATATAGTATATACATATATATATATAGTATATACATATATATATATATAGTATATACATATATATATATATTATATACATATATATATATAGTATATACATATATATATATAGTATATACAT